CTGGCTGCTGGGCCGCTTCACCGAGCCTGCCGCCTGGCTCAGCGCCCGCCTCGCGTACACGCGCACCGCAGGCAAGGCCGGGGCGGCCGCGCTGTCCTGCCTGGCCCTCCTCCCACGCACACCACACCACACCACACCAGCTCTGGCTACATTACGTGATGTGCCACCACCCACCCATCAGCCTGCCAGCTTTGCTGCCTCCCTCCCCAACCTGCAGCCGTGTGGAGCATGGTGGGTCACATGGTGGGTCTGGGCGACCGGCACGGTGAGAACATCCTGGTGGACTGCTGCAGCGGGGACGTGGTGCACGTAGACTTCTCCTGCCTCTTCGACAAGGGGCTCACGCTGCAGAAGCCGGAGATGGTGCCCTTCAGGTGGGCGGGTGGTTTGTGTGTGTGTGTGTGTGTGTGTAGGTGTGTAGGTGTGGGTGTGTGGTTTGTGAGCGGGGGACACGTCCAACGGCCCCAGGGTGGGTGCGCGGCGGCGCGGGGGCCTCCACCACGTGCCGGCTGCGGCTTGCGTGCCGCGAGGAGTGGAGGAGGCACCTGCCTCTGCCGCATGCATGCTTCCCTCCCCTGACCCCTGCCCTCCCACCCCCCCTCTCTCCCGCCCGCAGGCTCACACAGAACGTGATTGACGCGTTTGGTGTGTCGGGGGTGGAGGGCGTTTTCCGGCGGGTGTGCGAGATCACGCTGTCGGTGCTGCGCCAGCACAAGGGCTCCATACTGAGGTGCGGGCGGGAAGGGTGGGTGGGGGTGGTCGGCTGGGCTGCTGGCGCGGATGCCTGGGCAGGCGGCAGGGAGACGCTGGCCTGGCCCCCAGGCCTGCAGCTGGCGCTGGCTCGCCGCGCGGTTGTCAGCCACCATGTGTGCATGACCGCCCACCCCACTCAACACAGCGACCCTCACGCATACACACACATGCACACCCATCGCTGCCGCAGCGTGATGGACACCTTTGTGCACGACCCTCTGGTGGACTGGGCGCGCAACCACCAGGGAGGCTCGCGCGCCGCCGGCGACGAGGGGGCCGACAACCCGTATGCCAAGGATGCTCTGGCCACGATCGAGGGTGGGTGGGCAGAGGGTGCGGGTGTGTGCGGCGGGGTTTTGGCGTAGCCGTGTGTGGGGGCTGCGTGTGCCTGCCTACACTGGCAGGCCCAAGCAAGGCCGCCTGCTCAGCCTGCTCGGCCCTCCCTCCCTCACGGCCGCGCCCCGCTGCGTGCGCTGCCGCCTCCCCGCCGCAGGCCGGCTGAAGGGCACGCTGCTGGGGGTCAGCTCCCGCCCCTGCATGCCGCTCAGCGTGGAGGGGCAGGCGCACCGCCTGATTGAGGAGGCGGCATCCAAGGACAACCTGGGGGCCATGTACATCTGGTGGTGAGCACGGCTGGCTGGCTGGCTGGGGCCTGGGCGGGGCAGGCGTGGGGCGGGGCAGGGCGTGAGCTGGGCATGGCGTGAATGGGCGAGTGCGGGACAGCGCAGCCGGGCTGCCGCTGGGGATGGCGGGGCCGCTGGCTGAGTGGGCGGGGCCGGCGACTTGCGCGGGTTGGGGGGGCCAGCGCAAGTGGGCGGCGAGCAGGCGGCAGCTGAGTGGCGCCGCCTGGCCTGGCCTGCAGGATGCCGTGGATGTGAGGCGGGGGAGGCAGCAGCCGCAGGCAGGCGCCCAGTGGCGCGTGGCCCTGCATACAAGCGCGCCATGTATCATTTTCGTAGCTGAACACATACAGACCCTTGTCCTACCAGAAAACAGATTCATGCCAGTCAGATTAGCCCACAAGACATTGATGAGACGCCATTAGAACTGTTTCTGCACCTCTTTGAGTGCTCGATTCTTGCCTGATCTGCAATTCATTGTAAAATGAAAGAAGCGCCCGTGCTGCAACACAGGCAGCCAGCGCCAGCACTGGAAGGGCACTGGAAGCAGGGCGGACACAAGGTGAAGTGTGGGCAGCTGGCAGAGAGCGCCAACGGCAGCAAGTGAAAGCAGCAAGTGAAAGCCAGGCTTGGGATTTCCGACTGCCTTCCTTGTTCTATGTTTCATGATGGTTGCAAGAAGAATGTATGAATGTAGCGCTTCTTAACCAATGCGTGGAGAACAGTGTGGGAAGCATCGCAGGGCGGCGCGCGCTCATGTGACCCCCGCTGCTGCTGCCGGTGAGGCGAACGCCACCGCCTGCTGCTGCTGCCGCGCCGGCGAGGCGCCATACTGTTGCAGGGGCTGCTGCATCAGCATCTGCGGCTGGTATAGCGGCTGCTGCACCTGCACAAACTGCTGCTGCTGCAGGAACCCGGCGGCAGGCAGCTGCGCCGCCTGCCGCGCGCTCTGCCGCACCGGCATGCATGCCGCCGCCGCCACCGCCGCATGCCCTCCGAGCCCCTGCAGCGCAAACGGTGCCGCCGCGGCCGGCACGGCCAGCAGCCCCGCCTCCCGCCGCCGCTGCAGCTCGCGGTAGGCGTCCAGGCTGGCATAGGGCAGGCCGGTGTGAGGGTCGCGGTACCGAGCGGGCTGGCCGGTGACGGCGCACAGCAGGCGCGGCGCGGGCGGCGGCGCCACCTGCGCCCGCATCTCATCCGGCATCGCCATGTTGCGCACCTCCAGCGTGCTCTGAGGGCGGGCGGGGCGGGGCATGCAGGGGCTGGGGCTGGGGCTGGATGGCGGGCAGCGTGCGGCGGGCAGCTGCACTCCTCGTGGCAGCCATGCCTGGCGCCGGAGCAGCCCGCCTGGGACAGTGCACCCAATGGCAGGGTGCCTGCCGGGTGAGCCGTACGGGCACCTGCACCCACACCCGCCCAGCCCGGCAGCGACAGCGCCGCGGCTCACCATCTCTGCCTGCCCGACCTTCCTCGACTTCCACCGCACCATGGGCCCCGCATACCGCTTCTTCTGCACCTGCGCCTTCTTCCTCGTCTCCTCCTCTATCGCCACCAGCACCTGCGCCACAGCGGGGGCAGCGGGGAGGGCTCATGGGTGCCCGTGGTGCCGCTCCACGCTGCTGAGAAAGAGGCTGCCAGGCAGCCCTCGCTAGGCCTCGCCATGGCATCCTGACAGCGACGATACCCCCCAGCAACACGCCCCAGC